AGCTTGTGGCAAGCTTGCCGCGTAAGATTGCCAATATTGCCGAGCAAGCTTGCGGCAATATTGTGGCAAGCTTCAAATGTCCCACCTACAGGAAGCTTGCCGCGTAAGCTTGCAGCAATATTGCCTTGTAAGCTTGCTGTAATATTGCACGGCAATATTGCCGCAATGTTGCACTGTAAGGTTGTGGTAAGGTTACATGTAAGGTTGTTGTAAGGTTGAGGTGAGGTTGTGGTAAGTTTACAAATTATGGAAAAAATTAACAAAATAATTAATAAATATTAATTTAAAAGATGAATTTTGTTGCTCTTCTTTATTTTTGAAACCTAACATGAAACAGAAAATTTTGAAAACAAATTTGGCGGCACTGGGATTCGAACCCGGGATCGACGCGCATAAACCTAATATCCTAACTAACTGAGCTAAGTGGGGAACTGAGGAAGAGAAACTCAATTTTGCTTTTAAGGAGTTAGTTAGCTTCTTGTTGCACCTTAATAGCAAAATTGAGTTTCTCTTCCTCAGTTCCCCACTTAGCTCAGTTAGTTAGGGTGTTAGGTTTATGCGCGTCTATCCCGGGTTCAAATCCCAGTGCCCCCAAGTTTGTTTTCAGAATTTTCTGTTTCATTTTAGGTATCAAAAATATAGAAGAGCAACAAACTTCATTTTTTAATTAATATTTATTAATTATTTAAATTATTAATTATTTTGTTAATTTTTTTCCATAATTTGTAAACTTACCACAACCTCACCTCAACCTTACAACAACCTTACGTGTAACCTTACCACAACCTTACAGTGCAACATTGCGGCAATATTGCCGTGCAATATTACAGCAAGCTTACACGGAAAGAAAAAGTCCGTCAATCATTAATAGACTAGTATATTACTTTGAGACGGGACACAAAATCATTCAATGGATAACATACTTTGAGTCACAATCAGTGACGAGTTGCTTGCTAAAATTTAGAAAACTGTCATCAATATATAAAACTCGTTCACTAAAATTTAGAAAACTGTCTATTAAATTTTCTATGACTATCAAAAGCATTCAAAAAATTCAACTTCTTTCAGAATTATCCCTAATTTTAGACACTATTTGGTACAGAATGAACACATTTTTTTCGTTGCACAGTTCCGATATTTTATTTACACTCTTAGACGCTTTAGACCAACACATTTTCCAACACATTTTCGCACTTATAATAACTACACGTAGAAACGCACACTTATAACACTTTAAGTTTAGAAGCAAACTGTTCTTATATACCAAATAACAAAATTTTTCACAACTTGTGAGAAATGATTTTGCACTAATAACTACTTTTTAATTAGCGAGAAACATAAAAGAAAATATATTTTCATCGAGGTCAATTTCTAGACGCAATTCAACTGCAAATTATTAGTTAAGTTAAATATTCACATTACACATAATAGTATATAGGGATATGTATAGCAGACAGCAAAAACACATGGACTATAGAGAAACCGGAAGAAATGCGCATCGGTACACTGCGCAACAATGCGCTGGTGAAGAGCGCCGATTTAGAATACGAGTCAACTAACGTTTCACAAACTTTCACTAATGATTCGTAAACATTCAAACAGCCATTGATAACAATTCAGCATTAAATCTAAAACAATTGGTCACATACTGGCATTCTAATCAATCCATGACTCGTTTTCAATCGTTAAGTAAAGTTAAGTAACCATCAACGGAAAAAGTGTCCCGTCTCAAAGTAATATACTAATCCATTAATGGTTGACGGACTTTTTCTTTCCGTGTACAAGGCAATATTGCTGCAAGCTTACGCGGCAAGCTTCCTGTAGGTGGGGCATTTGAAGCTTGCCACAAGCTTGCTGCAACATTACGTGCTATCTGGGTGAAGGCAAATGGCCATATATTGAAAAATGTACTAAGATTCCTAAAGATGAATTTAAAAATTGTATTGTATTCATTATGAACAATATGTTCTTTCAATTTACTAATAAATATTATAGACAAAAATTTGGAACGCCAATGGTCGCTTCAATTTCTCCAATTCTTGTTGACATAGTTATGCAAGACTTGGATATAAAAGATTCGTAGATGACACTTTTTTATGTGTTCCAAAAAATAAAGTATCTACAGTTGTTAATGCCTTCAATTTCTTTCATAACAGATTACAGTTCACTCTTGAATTGAAATGCAATAACGAAATAAATTTTTTAAATTTAAAGATTATTATAAGATCTGAAAACATCAGTATATTATTACTGATTGGTACAGAAAAGATACTTATTCAGGAAGACTATCAAACTATCACTCGAATCATTCAACACAACACAAAATTGCAATTATCAAAAATCTTGATACTGTTTTGAAACTTTCTGATAGAAAATTTCATAATAAAAACATAATTTTAGTGAAGTGGATTGGCACTTTTATGCCCTTAAATTCCAAACCAATTCCGTTTTTGTTCGCAATCTTAATGAATTCCTTTTCTATTGTTAACTTGTTCATTTCTATCCAATTCAATTCTCTGTAACCGCGTGACCAGAATCTGAATTCATTTCAATGCCGTTTAAGGGAATCATTAGTTGCGGAGTTAATGCCTTTTAATTAACTTGAATTCTTTAAAGGGGATTCAAATTCTGGTCACGCGGTTACAGACAATTGAATTGGATAGAAATGAACAAGTTAACAATAGAAAAGGAATTCATTAAGATTGCGGACAAAAACGGAATTGGTTAGGAATTTAAGGGCATAAGGGATCATTCACATATTACGTCACGCAAATTTGGAAAAATTTTAACCCCCCCATCCCCCTACGTCACATTTTGTTGCATTGAAATTGGTAATTTTTACACAGGACGTCACAAAACTGTAGACCCTCCTCCCCCTAAGCCTGTGACGTAATATGTGAATGATCCCTAAAAGTGCCAATCCACTTTAATTCACCCCTTATTACTGGGTAATAATTATCCTGATCAATTTGTTAACAAACATGTGAAAAAAAGAATTAATTAAATTAATAGTAGAAAATTTTCAAATAACATCAACAACAATAGCAATAATAATACATTAGTTAAGAAAATAGTTTTCCCTTCTTACGGACCAATATCAGAAAATATCAAAAGATTAGGGCAGGATGGGGCAAGGATAGTTAGTGGCTGTATTGCTTAAACGGCTTGTTCAAATTAGCGTGTCATTCATGATATTTTCGCGTCTTAAAACCAAAAGATGGTAGTAAAAATTGGAAGTCAATCTGCTACCATTTGCGAAGTTAGCAGTTTATTTTTAAAAAACACCTGTTTTTGAAAAATGTCAACAGAATCTTTGTCACGTTTTATCATATTGTTTTCTTTATTAGTGCTTCCAAATATTTATTTACGTAAGTGTTTTCCGGAGTAGAATTTCCTGCTGAACACGAATATCGTATTTATTTTCAATTAAATTCACGTCGTTTCACAAAAAAATAGGAAAAATTGAAATATGAGCTCCTTTTCCCGCCACGGGGCAAGGATAGTTAGAGCTAATATGGCACGGTACAATCCTGCACGGAAAAAACTCTATGTTTGTGGTATCCATAAATATGGTTGCCACAACCACAATAAATTGTAAAATACGGGACAACTACATTTGTGGTTGTCACAACAACATTGAACTTTATACACCAATGTAGTTGTCGGAATCAAGTCGTGTTGTTGGGACAACCACACAGTCTTGCTGTCAAAATCGTTTCGTGTGGTTGACTCAACCACAGAATGTAGTTGTCAGTATCGTTCTGAGTGGTTGAGGAAACTGAATAGTTTTGTTCTCACAATCGCATTTTGTTGTTGTAGCAACTGAATAGTGTTGTTTATCAAACTTAGGTGAAATTCCCGAGCGATTTCGAAGTTCATTCGTAGGAGGCGTACAACAATCAACAGGATAGAAGCATCAAAACCTTTACCTATATGGTTTTAGCCCTTGCATTTGTGCCTCCCGCCAACGTAATGTCATCTTTTCAAGAACTAATTCTTGCCGCACCTGTGGAACTTCGTCCAGTGCTAGATTATTTTGGTGAAATGTATATTGTAGGTAAACCTGCACGAGGTCGAAGACGAGGTATTTTGCCTCGATATCCTACAGATACGTGGAACCAACATGAGGCTGCTTTGCGAGGTGGTCACAAAACAAACAATGTTAGTGAAGGGTAGCACAATAGGTTAGCTTTGCTCATTGGAAAACATCAGCCAAATTTGTACTCATTGTTAAAAGAGTTTCAGAAAGAGCAGGCCGATACGGAGGTTGCTAAGCTTAAAAAAGTCCGTAAAAGCAGCCCCAAAGAAAAAGTGGGTGTCAATCCAGAAACGTCTCCAAGGAATTGTTGCTCAGTACGAAGAGTATCGAAGAAATAATCAAGATTCAAAAGTCTTCGGGAGAAAAGGCTTTCGGGATATTCGATTCGGGAAATTAACCAGATACCGCCTAAGAAGGAACCTTTTAAAGCAAGAAACATCGTTTTTTTGAAAATCCTAGAGTGTCTCTTAACTAGGGAATCAATCTCTCTTATTCGTTTTAAGAGGACCGTCTCCGTAAAATGTCAGGGCGATTGCTGGGCTCTCTTGTCCAATAAGAAATACAGGAATTAACAAATCTCTGCGAAGATGATTCTTAACCCAGGAAGTTCCTTGAGATAAAGAAATCTTCACAGCGTCGCTTCAGGTTCAGGATATTGTGACTCCATTCCACGATTGACGAGCTTTGACCTTCAACAGTCACACCTTCCGACACTCATGTAAAGTTGGCACTTCTTTTTCGAAAAATCAAACTTTTTACAAGATTTCTGGGCACTTTAGCAAAAGTTCTAGAGACAAAAAAATTTTAGCAATAACAACTTTCTGGAATCATCCTTTACCCTCTCAGAATTGCAAATAGTAATTAACTCTTGCAAATTTAAATTTTCTCCCGGACTAGACAAAATTGATTTGAATATCATAAGACTGTTGAAGGAAAGAAAATTCTTTTATTCATATTTAATAGAATTTACTCAACTGGTACACTGAGAGAAGAAAAGCAAAGATTCTGAAATGGAAAAGTTCAGCATCTGTACTCCAATTGAACGCAGCAGTAGTGCCTCTGTGTGATAGGTGTCTAGAGATGCGAAGAGGTAATATAACCCGGAGAACGGTAACGAGAATGAGAATATAACCGACCAAAATTCTCCAAGAGAATTTATGAGAATTTTTGTGTTTGTGTACGATACATAGTTTCTATAGTTTATCTCGTTTATGTGATTGGATAATTCGTTGGTTTCCCTCATTTTCGTCTGCTATTTTCATGTGAATAGAAATAATAGAATTTACATGTGAACTGCGCTTTTATTAATGGAATGGTTAAAAAAATAAGGTAATTATTTTAAAGTACCCTGCCGGAAGAATGGACTGAAATTGTACTGGGGAATTAGTACTGAGAGATCAGTGCTATTTCAGTGAAAATTTGCCGCCATTCAGCACTGAAATTGTACTGGGAAAAATTACCTGCAAAAGGGTCGCTATCGGTGATGTTTATGGCCTGACCGTCATTAAGTTGAAGGACGAATATTTTTTTGTTAATGTTAAAAATAATTTTTATTTATATTTCAACATTATATTTGTTTTTCATGAACTCAGATTCTTTACAAGTAATTATTATGTATGCTAAATATTCATGTTAATCTAAATTCAAAAATAATATCCGTTTTTACGTAACAATTAGAGTTTGCGAGATAGTTTATAACTTTTTTAATTAAACATTTTTTATAATGAATTTTAGATATTTGTAATCATGAAACATCACAGATTAAAATTTTTTTGTTTTGAAAATTGAATTATTTAAATTGTAAACTTTTTAAGCCATTAAATTATAATCCCATACAACAATAGGCTTTCGGGTCTATTGTTAAAGCAGGGGTTGCAATATAATTTTAAAATTTAACGGGAATTTCTTTGAAAATTTTGGTAACCTTTTTTTACTTTCACTTCCAAACTGTTAACAATGGTTTGTTGACATAACCTACATTTGAAACTATTGTTAAAGGACTTTAAAAATGTCTACCGAAACATTAAAAAAAACAAACTGAAATTGTACTGGAGGCCAGTACAATTTCAGTACTTTTTCAGTCCATTCTTCCGGCAGGGTAATTTATGTTATTATTTATTTTATTATTTTAATTTAGATAAATAATTACTTTTAAAAGATAATAAACTGTTTGATTGAAATAGAACTTAAGTTACGATTACAATATTTTTGTAACAAAAATAAATACAAAAATGTGACCCAGACATAACCTCAAAAGTCTAAATTTATCAATCATCTTAAAACCATTATTTATTTCATTCACATTACTTTCAGTATTTTATAACAATTTAACTTTTATTTTATTCATTATTATTGAAATTATTGTTTTTTCAGTCGAACGGAAACATGACTAAACCGAAGAACAATGTTTGGGATTATTTTAGACCAAAAAAAAATATAAATGGAAACCTTGAAGGTTATGCCTGCATATTTTGTGATATTTTATATCAGAAAAATGCTACAAGACAAAAAAAACATTTAAATAAATGTTCGAAATGTCAGGAAGACATTAAAAAAATATTCAACGTTGGATTAGAAACTAACAAATCTAAAAGTGATATGTCTTACTTCTTCAGTGTTGAATCATCAGGTAATTAAAAATATTGTTAACACCTAATTTTAAAAATTAATATTGAAATTGAATGAATTATTTATTCTCATATCTATTTTCAATACAGATAATGCCCTTACCACGGAAAATGAGGACGATCAAATTTTGCAAGTTTCTGGCGATAATATTATATCTACAAAGAGTAAAGACAAAATGATTGGTTCAAATCAACCTAAGCTGTTCACTGTGAAAAACTATCACGATTCAATTACATCAAATGAACAGGTACAGACTATAAATAAATGTAAATATTCTATATTAAGAAAACGTCATTACAATTAATTTAAGTTTACAAAATTTATTCTCTGTCATACTCTTTAGGTTTGACATATTGATATAATAATTAATTAAATAATTTGTTTTTCATAGAATGAGCTTGATGAACATTTTGCAAGAGCTATTTATAGTTCTGGGACGCCTTTGAGTTTATTTGAAAATAAATACTGGGGAGATTTTTTAAAAAAATTGCGACCAGCTTGGAAAAAACCTTCGAGACACAAATTGAGTGAACCTCTATTAAAAACGGAGTTTAGAATTGTTCAACAAGATATTTTTACAAAAGTAGCAGAAGCAAGTGTAGTTGGAATACAATGCAATGGGTGGTCTAATAGAAGGTCAGTTTCATTTTTCTTAGATATTTTAATTAAAATATTTCTTGGGTCAGTCCATTATATTTCACCTGAAGCCGTTGCGGCCTATTTTTTAAAAAATCTCATAATTTGTAAAAATGATGTTGAATATCCATAGAATTCATTTTTGAGAATTATTTTATAAAATTTTTTTAATTTAACTTAGAATTTTAATTTTTAAATTGAGTTGGACTGAAAAAAGGTTAGATTGACAGTTATGTAAATTTAATAAAAAAGCATGGAAATAATTTAGATAATAGAAATTTCTTGAATGATATTTGTTAAAAATGAGCTAATTTACTTGTATAAATAGATTATTATGTAAACATACTCAAAATAATAGATAAAAATTGATTTTAAAATTTACCTATGAAATGTCAAAAGTCACTACATTTTAATTACATTTTTCTAAAAAGTTTATAAATATAAAAAAATTTATTTCTATTTAATGTAAAGTATTTTCAATGTACTTTCATAATATATGCTAACTTTTTAATGTTATAATATAGAAATATGAAAAATTTTACCTTTAATATAGAGTGTTTCATGATTTTTAGTGATTTTAATCACTTATTTCTTCTCAGGTGCAAGACTAAAAAATCCAATTTTTGTCTTAATATTTAAGATTGACCTTCTTTTCCATTCTATTAAATTTTGGTGATGGAGAACGAGCTACTTTGTAGTTTTATTCATGTTTAAAAAATCTGCTTCCAAAAGCGAGTTTGTTGGTTAAAATGCAGGTAATTTTATAACACTGAAGTTGGCTATCTCAATAGTCATGCAAAAATCTACTTGCATTTTAACCAACAAATTCGTTTTTTCAGTAGATTTTTTAAACTAAATTTAAACTGAAAAGTAGCTCGTTCTCCATCACCAAAATTTAATAGAATGGAAAAGAAGTTCAAACTTAAATATTAAGACAAAAATTGGATTTTTTAGTCTTGCACCTGAGAAGAAATAAGTAATTAAAATCACGGAAAATCATGAAACACTCAATATTAAAGGTAAAATTTTTCCTATTTCTATATTATAAAATTAAAATGTTAGCACATATTATGAAAGTAAATTGAAAATACTTTACATTAAATAGTAATACATTTTTTAACATTTATAAACTTTTTAGAAAAATGTAATTAAAATGTAGTGACTTTTGACATTTCATAGGTAAATTTTAAAATCAATTTTTATCTATTATTTTGAGTATGTTTACATAATAATCTATTTATACAAGTAAATTAGCTCATTTTTAACAAATATCATTCAAGAAATTTCTATTATCTAAATTATTTCCATGCTTTTTTATTAAATTTACATAACTGTCAATCTAACCTTTTTTCAGTCCAACTCAATTTAAAAATTAAAATTCTAAGTTGAATTAAAAAAATTTTATAAAATAATTCTCAAAAATGAATTCTATGGATATTCAACATCATTTTTACAAATTATGAGATTTTTTAAAAAATAGGCCGCAACGGCTTCAGGTTAAATATAATGGACTGACCCTCTTACTGTTTAAAATTTAAATTCGTAATTAAATATTGTTATTTGCGTTTAATACATCGTTAAAGTTAAACACAAGTTTGTATAAAAAGACTATTTGAATATATTAAAAACTTTATTATTTTTAGGAATGAATCTATAATTAACGTCATTGTTACTACTCTGGAGCCTGTTTTTATGAGACCTACGACACAAAAGATGATTCTCATACAGGAGAATATATGGCAGATCTTATTCTGCAAGTGGCAGATAAAATCGGCAATGAAAAAGTGTTATCGGTCTTAACAGATAATGCAGCCGCTATGATAAAAGCAAGAAAACTAATTAAGGGGTTACACCACCCTGAACGCCTAAAAATTGGAAGGTATTTCAAAAATAAATTTTGACAAAACTACTAAAAATACAACTATTTACTAATTACAGTATAAAAATACATATATTCAACTGTAAAAAAAATTTTGAAAAATGAAAAAATATTTAAAAATGGCGAAGATATGGCGTTTTTTCGAAACTACATTTTTCGGAACGGTGTACATGATTTCTCAAAAACTACTTAATTGATTCTCTTTAAATTTTGTACACAACTGCTCAATAACATTCTCTATGACATGACGTAGGATTTTTTTGATATGATTTTTTAAAAAAAAAGTTATATATTTTTAAAGAAAATTTTTTGTACCAAAAATTTTAGACTTTTTTTTTAAGTGCTCCCATTTGTTTAAAAAAATTTTTTCTTTAAAAACGGCTACGTCATGTCATAGAGAATGTTATTGAGCAGTTGTGTACAAAATTTAAAGAGAATCGGTTGAGTAGTTTTTGAGAAATCATGTACACCGTTCCGAAAAATGTAGTTTCGAAAAAACGCCATATCTTCGCCATTTTTGAATACTTTTTCATTTTTCATAATTTTTTTTACAGTTAAATATATGTATTTTTATACTATAATTAGTAAGAAATTGTATTTTTAATAGTTTTGTCAAAATTTATTTTTGAAATACCTTGCAATTTTCAGGCGTTCAGGGTGGTGTAACCCCTTAAGCTAAAGTATAATCATATAGCAGTATATGGATGTTTGGCTCATGGATATAATTTATTGATTGGTGATATTATGAACATAAAAACTTTACAAAGTTTGAAAACTCAAGCGAACAAGATTGTAAATGAAATTAATCTTTCACACAAATTAAAAGCAACGTTGGCGAAATATCAAGAACAAGTAAAGATCAGGAAGAAGGTTCCAATCAAGCAGGTTCAGGTTTTGTTTCTTTAACACTCCCTGGGAAAACTCGATGGAGTTCAATGGTGTTTTGCACTGACAGTTTATTGAGAAATCAAAGACCTTTGCAAAGATTAGCTATAGCCAAAAACATAGGTCACTATTTATCAACGGAAACTCAAGAAAATATTTTAAGTAATGAATTTTGGTACGGATTACAATTCTTACATCAGGTTCTTCTATGTATCGTGAAATGGATTACCATTCTCGAAGGAAACTATTGCACTTTAAGTTTAGCAACCGTTTCCTTTTCCGAAATATCTGAAATTGTGGGACAAGTTTTACAAGAATCTCCTCTTTCTGATTATGAAGATAAATTAATTAAAACGTCAATTGAAAATCGAAAAAAATTCATCTTACAACCAATCCATTACGCTGCGAATTTACTTAATCCAAAATTGAACGGAAAAGGTTTAACAAGATTGGAACAATTAGAGGGCCAGAAATTTATTCATGATCGAGTCATGTATAAATATGGAAACAATAAAAATTCGGTAAAGCAAATTTTACAGGATTTAGCGGAATATCGAAGTGGCACTGGTATTTATGCCAAAGATTTTGTGAAATCAGTCATTGGAACAGTAGAAGCTCCAATATGGTGGAAAGGTACTCTTGCAGGCTCGGAATTAAGTGTTATTGCAGTTGATATATTGGGAATGCCCTCAACAAGTGCAGTCACAGAAAGAAGTTTCAGTGCTTTTGGTAATATTCATACAGTCAAAAGAAACAAATTAACAACGCTAAGAGCTTCTATGTTAACATATATTCAGCACAACTTGCAATTGCTTAATGAACATAAATCAAAAAAAGGAAAAATGCGACTGAATTTTGAATCAGAAAATTGGACTGAATCTGATGACAATTTTAGAGAGAGCAACGATAATGATACAGAAGAATTTGAAGGAGGTCTCTATTGTTCCGAAATAGAAAAGGAGATAGAAAATTTTTCCATAACAGAAGATATTCTAGCCGAATTGCAAGAATCGTTCTAAGACAGTATTTTGTATTTTAAACGTCGTAAATCAGTATTTTTTAAATTAAAAGGCTGTAATATTTTATAAGTATCTTAAATGTGATATAAAAATTAGTTAGAGAAAAAGATTTAAAATATAATTTTAATGTAACGTAACTTACAAAATTCTATAGCTGTTATTTGTAAAAGATTTTAATTTCAAGGAATAATAGTACTCAAATTAAAAAAATTATATTTGTTTTATTAAAAAAATTACCTTATATAATAAACAGAACTTTTTTAATTGTGTGTAACCCCTTTATTTATTTATTCATTAATTTAAAAAAATAATAGGTATTTTTTTCAAAATATTAAGTTATTTATTTATTCTAACGAAATTAAATTGTTATGGAATTATTTATTGTTAATTATTTTTATTTATTAATGTTATGTAATGTTAATTATTTAATTAACTATTATCAATTTCAATTTATTCAATTTGTTTTTATTCTAAAACAAGTAAGTGCGCGCATACGTTTAACCCCTTAACTGTTTGAGGAAAATACAACATGATTGTCCCAAAATGCCCAGCGGAATCTGATACTTTTGCAAATAGTATAATATATTTTAATTATAACTAATTATTCAATTATTTTCTAAAATATCATTAATGACCCTTATAATTTCTTATAATATTTATATAAAGAAAAATATCTATCAATTTATATACAAATTATATTTATTTTGAGTGATAGTGAACACGACCCACGGGTGGGTCGGAAACAGTTATGGCCATACTTTTTCACGACCCACCCGTGGGTCGGAAACAGGCAACGGGTTAAATGTAGAGAAAATTCTCTTAAATTCTCCGGAAGGAGAATATTCTCGGTCATATTCTCGAGAATATAACCGGAGTTTAAATTACCGAAAATTTTGCATCTCTATAGGTGTCGTGCTAAAATGTGAAACGGATTTTGACTTTGGCTTGAGGTACAGATGTTGTACTTCAAATGCTACTGTTTAGAAGTACAGTATCTGTCGGTCGCTATGAAACAGATCCTGTACTAATTAGTTCGTACCGCCGCCGCGCTGCTTGAGCATAGTATCTGAACTATGAATGACACCAACTGAATAAAATTAAGAACGGGCACTGACACGCATTTTGCACGGCCGGTGTTTGTCACAGTACGGATTCTATGCTTTTCTTCTCTCAGTGTAGTTTTCCTAAATCTTGAAATTTTTTCCTTATATTTTTATACCAAAATCTGTCACAAAAAAATTCTGTCCCATTTCATTAGCCTCCTGCCTCTTCAAATTACTAGAGAAATTGATTTATAACAGAACACAATGGTTTGTAGAGCATAATTACCACCTTCAAAAAACCAATTTTTTTGCAAAAATTCAATTTGCCACAAATTGGGATTCATAGATTTGTTCTTCATGAAGAGAGCAAGACAAAAAAATTGATTTTCATCCATATTTTTGGAGAATGTCAAAAGAATTTCTTCACTTTTTGTATGAGTTATTAAACAATAATTAAAAAGTAGCCATTTTTATTGGTTCAAATTCATTTGCAAGTACACAAAAGAACTAATTTTAACCTATGACCTATCATTTTGCAGGTATTTCCGAGCTCTATAACTTTCAATAACAACTTTTTTCTCTAATGGGAAAAAACAGCCCCCAGAAAATTGTTTTTAGGCACTTTTGACATTGTTCAATCACAGAATAGTCATTGTGTAAAAATTATAATATGATTCATCATAATAATTATTCATTTTATTGAAAATATATTAATTATATATATTTTCAATAAAATGAATAATTATTTATATTTTATGTCAAAAAAAGTTTAATAGTATAAGGTTAACCAAAAAAAAATGAAATTCAAAGTACGTGATTTCTGAATTTTTGCGTGTTAAGAAAAATAAATAAATTTGTCATTTTCTCAATTTTTAAATCAAGCCGAAATCTTGTATTTAACTGTTAAAAACTTTAAAATTCGCTTGTTTGACAGACATATAAAAAAATATTTTGGGTCAAAATAAGTGAAAACGGCCATTTAAAAAAATTTTGTCTTCGATTTTCAAGTTTAGTTATCTACGTTTTTGATAGATATATGTGACCTGGTCTATGACAGGGTGTCTAATAAAATTGGAAAGGTCAATTCCCTGACTTTTCCATGACTTTTCCATGACATCCTTAAAATGATTCCCTGACATATTACTAAATATAGATAACTCAATATATATTATTAACTAGCAAGTAAATTAAAGAAGAATACAAATATTTATTAATTAGATTAAAAATAAGCGACAATTGAGGCTCCGGATCTTAAAAGGGCACTTGCACCATTGATTTTAAATGGCAAAAGTGCCCTTTTAAGATCCGGAGACTCAATTAAGACTTATATAACTCGCTTTATTAATTTAATACAAATAAAATAAAGATATTTGCACACTGAAAAAAATTAAAGGCAGAATGTGCTTTTTACTAAGGTAATTTTTGCCTAAGTACAAAAGCAATACACGAAAAGCAATTGTTTCTTTTAAAAAAAGGCAATTTTTGCCTTAGTTACACTGTAAAAACAAAGTCTTCCTTTAAGCCAGAAATTTGTCTTTTTTCAAGGTGTAAACGGAAGTAGACCATATTGGCTGAATGTCAGTAATGATTAGAAGTTTAAAAAGAATACTCCCCAATTGATACAAGTAAGGTGTTAAATGAACTGAAATTCAACTGTAAGCTAGTAAGAAGGCTAAAATTCAGCCAAACCATCTAGCCAAATTTCAGCCTTCTTACAAGCTTACAGTTGAATTTAAGTTTATTTAACACCTTACTTGTATCAATTGGGGAGTCTTCCGTTTACACCTTGAAAAAAGACAAATTTCGAGCTTAAAGGCGGTGTCAAAGTCGATGCGATTTTTCCATTGAAGCTCAATGCAAAAATCCAATCGACTTTGACACCGCCTTAAAGAAAGACTTTGTTTTTACAGTGTACGTTCATATTCTTGAATTTTATTAAAATAAACATATGTCACATTTAATTTCTTATAACAAACAACAATTATTAAAACTATCAGTGGAAATTTCTCCCTTTAAGATAAAGAATTAAATGCTAATGCACAT